TCTCTCTTTTTCTTTTTTTTTTTTTAGACTTTGACTTTTTCAGAGCCTGGTTCTTTCCATTCTCAACCTCCTTGACCTTGTCAAGGTTGAGGAGCGAAAAAATGAGATGGACGAGTTAGAGGCCAAACTTCAGTCCCTCGTTACCGATGCAAAGCAAAAGCTGGAAGACGCCAACGAGAAGAGGGACGTGGCCCTGGCCAAGCTGGCGAGTCTGGAAGAAGAGCTTTTAAAGCTAAAAAACGAGATCGCAAGTCTCAAGGAACGGGCAGACTTATCTGATAAAAAGTTATCCGAGGCAGCTAGGGAGGCGGAGAGGCGTTTTCTTGAGGGGAAGAAAGAGGCTGAGGCGGAAGCCGCATTTGTCTTCGACGCCAAGCGTGTCGAGGTTATCAAGGAGTTTAAGGCCTCCCAAGAGCTTATTGATATTCGCACCAGAGACTTCCAATCTGCGGGTCAGCAAATTGTCGACCTGATCAAGAAGGAGCGTCCTGAGTGGGAATTGAGCTTTCTCTATAATCCCCCCCCCCTGTGGGTGACGACAATGCTTCTCCGCCTGGTGTCGGCGAAGACTCGAGAGCCACCGGCGAGGCCTGAAGGACTTTTACTTGCCTCTTTTTGTTTTGTAATAGAGGATTTTGTTGATCCAGACATCTTTTACTTTATCTGTTTATATATATATATATATATATATATATATATATATACATCTGGCGTCGAGCATACCCCTTGGGGTCGTCATTTTTAGGAAATTCCTTGGAATTTCGCTAAGTTTTTCGTCTTTCCTCCTTGGAGGATCTGACGTCGATTGTGCCCCTTAGGGTCATCGTCTTAGGAAATCCCTTGGAATTTCGCTAAGTTTTTCATCCTTCCTCCTTGGAGGATCTGACGTCGATTGTGCCCCTTGGGGTCGTCGTCTTAGGAAATTCCTTGGAATTTCGCTAAGTTCTTTTTCTTTCCTCCTTGGAGGATCTAACGTCGATTGTGCCCCTTGGGGTCGTCGTCTTAGGAAATTCCTTGTAATTTCGCTAAGTTCTTTGTCTTTCCTCCTTGGAGGATCTGACGTCGATTGTGCCCCTTGGGGTCGTCGTCTTAGGAAATTCCTTGGAATTTTACTAAGTTCTTTGTCTCTTTTTTTTTTGTTTAACCCGCGGATCCCTGTCCCCCCATGTCTGTTTAATATAACCTCAGTTTTTAAGCAGACATGTTACTAAGGGGTGAATTCTTTTCCTTCTGCAAACATATCAATTTATTTACTTTATAAAGAATGTACAATTGGGATATGCGAGAATTTCATACATTATTGGTAGTACAGCTTCAGTTGTTCCGCATTCCACGGGTGTTGGATCTTCTTGCCGTCGAGGCTTTCCAAAACATAGGTTCCGGGATGCAGCACTTTACTTATGCGGTAGGGCCCTTCCCAAGTTGGGCCCAGTGGACCGGTATTCTTGGGTTTTGTGCTTTGCGTTACCCTTTTTAGTACTAGGTCCCCTGGGATGAACCTCCTATGTTGAACTTTCTTGTTGTAATATCGCACCGTTCTTTGCTGATAAGCGGCGAGGCATAGTTGGGAGTCGAGCCTTTTTTCCTCCAACAAGTCGAGCTCTCCGTTCATGCCTTTCGTGTTGTCATCGTCGTTATGGATGATGGTTCTTAGAGTCGGCGTTTCGATTTCTATGGGGAGTACTGCTTCGTCGCCATATGCCATGGAGAAAGGTGTCTCACCCGTAGTAGTTTGGCTCGTCGTTCTGTATGCCCATAGGACCTTGGGAAGTTCCTCGGCCTATTTCCCTTTCAGATCGTCGAGTTTTTTCTTGAGAGTATACTTTAATATCTTATTGACCGCCTCAACTTGTCCATTGGATTGTGGATGGATCGGTGCCGAAAAATCTTTCCGAATGCCCAGGTCATCACAGAACCTGCACGTTGAGGCATTGTCGAACTGCCTTCCGTTGTCGGATACGATTGAGTGGGGAACCCCGAACCTGCATACGACGTGATCCCACATAAATTTGGTGCAGGCTGCTTCCGTGGTTGTAGTTAAGGCCTTAGCCTCTGCCCATTTTGTGTAGTAGTCTACCGCAACGATTGCAAACTTAAATCCTCCGGGTGCAAGATGTAATGGCCCGATCAGGTCAACCCCCCCATTTGGCGAAGGGCCAAGGACTGAGAATGGACGTTAAATGTTCCGGGGGCGCTCTAGGAATTATGGCATACCTTTGGCACTTGTCGCAACGTCGGGCATACTGGAAAGCGTCCTTTTTTAGCGTGGGCCAGTAGTACCATTGTCACAACACCTTTAGAGCCAAAGACTGCCCCCCAGAGTGGTTTCCGTAGATCCCTTCGTGGATTTCATGGAGGACCTTTTGTGCCTCAGTTTCATCCAAGCACCGTTGTAGAGGGGTTGAGTAGCCTCGTCGGTAGAGCAAGACGTCATACAATAAGTATCTAGCGGCTCTATACCTGACCCGTCTGGCTTCATCCTTTCTATTTGGCAGCTGTGCGTCCATTAGGTATCGGATGAGGGGGGTCATCCAACTTTCATTTACTCGGACAATTAACGCCTCCACCTTTTCTTCTATAGTTGGTCGCTCAAATTCCTCGATGGGGACGACCCCTAATGTGTCGGATTCTCTAGAAGATGCTAGCTTTGCCAAAGCGTCGGCACTTGCATTCTCGGTTTGTGGTATCTGGAGTATCTCGTAACTTTTAAACTTAACGAGTTCTTTCTTTACCTTTCTTAAGTACACTCACATCCTCTCGCTGCGCGATTGGTACTCTTCCTTCACCTGTGCGACAACCAATTGAGAATCGCTGAAGATGCTGAGTCTTTCAACCTTCAGGTGGCTGGCTAGCCACAGTCCAGCAATTAGTGCTTCGTATTCCGCCTCGTTGTTTGATGCCTTGAATTTAAATCGGACCGCCGAGGTAATTTTGTGGCCTTCGGGGCTGATTAACAGGATACCGGCTCTTGACCCATTTTCACTCGACGCCCCATCCACGTAGAGTTTCTAGTTTATAATGTCGACTTCTCTAGGTACGGCAGGAGTTGGCCTATGGGAGAACTCAGCTAAGAAATCGGCGAGCGCTTGGCCCTTGATCGCAGTCCTCGGCACATACTTTATGTCGAACTGGCTTAATTCTACCGAGCATTTGAGGAGTCGACCGGAAGTTTCGGGCTTTTGCAGAGCCTGCCTCAACGGGTGGTTTGTGAGAACCCGTATTGTGTGAGACTGGAAATAGTGCCGAAGCTTCCTTGAAGCTACCATCAGGGCGAGGGCAAGGCGCTCCATCTCGATGTATCTTGACTCGGTGTCGAGAAGCCTTTTACTCACGTAATAGATTGGCAGCTGCACCCTTTCTTCTTCTCTCACTAACACGGAACTTACGGCGTGTTGGGATACTGAAAGGTATAGGCTGAGCTCTTCGTCGACGTTCAGTTTTGATTGTATTGGGGGCTTGCCCAAATGTTTCTTCAACTTCTGGAAGGCCTCTTCACATTGGGGTGTCCATTCAAAGCGATTGCTTCCCTTCAAAGCGTCGAAGAAAGGGATGCATTTGTCGGTTGCTTTTGATATGAACCTATTTAAGGCGGTGAAACATCCTGTCAATCTCTGCACCTCCTTCGGCTTCATTAGGGACCGCATATCTTGTAAGGCCTTGATCTTCTCAGGATTAGCTTCAATCCCTCAGTTGCTGACCATAAAACTGAGGAATTTCCCCGACCCAACTCCAAAGGCGCACTTTTGGGGGTTGAGTTTCATGCAATATTTTCTTAGTACGCCAAACATTTCCCCCAAATGGTCAACGTGACGGCTAGCCTTAGTGCTTTTTACTAGCATATCGTCAACATAAACCTCCATTGTCTTGCCGAGTTGTTGGGCAAACATTTTATTTACAAGCCTCTGGTAGGTAGCCCCTGCATTTTTCAGGCCGAAAGGCATCACTTTGTAGCAGTAGAGGCCCCTGTCGGTTATGAAGGATGTGTGCTCCTCGTCAGCTGGATGCATGGAGATTTGGTTGTATCCGGAGTAAGCGTCCATAAAGCTCAGCATCTTATGCCTCGCCGTGGCATCGACCATCTGGTCTATGCGAGGGAGTGGAAAGCCATCCTTTGGGCAGGCTTTATTGAGATCACTGAAGTCGATACATGTTCTCCAATCTCCGTTGGGCTTGGTCAGTAGAACGGGGTTTGATACCCAACGAGGATAATGGGACTCCCTGATGAACCCATTATTAATTAGCTTGTCGACCTCTTCTCTCAGCGCCTCATACCTCTCAGGGTTCATCGGCCGACGCTTTTGTCTTTTGGGTGGATATGAGGGGTCGACGTTCAGGGAGTGACATATTACTCCGGAGTCGATTCCTTCCATGTCGGAATGATTCCAAGCGAAGACATCTAGGTTCTTCCTGAGGAAGTCTTCGAGCTCATCTTTAAGTGATGGGGCTAAGCCTGAGCCCACTTTTAGCACTTTGGCGGACTTGCCTTCACCAACTCGGACTTCCACCAATTGTTCCACAGGTTGAGACCACGTGACTTCCTCCTGGATCCGGGGATCTATATCCTCGACGAGGCCTTGGTGAACCATCCTTGTCTCCTGTCTCCCTGGTTGGTCATATCCGCGCAGGGCGTCAGAGTATGCAACCCTAGCTTCATACTGGTTACTTTTCATTTCCCCCACACCATTTGGGGTGGGGAACTTGACCTTTTGGTGATAAATGGAGGTTATTGCTCTTAACGCTTAGAGGGTTGGCCTCCCGATTACCGCGTTGTACTGGGAGCTTCCCTTTATGACCATGAAATTGGCCATTGTGGTTGCCTATCGGGGCTTTTTACCGGCGGTTATGGGTAGGCGGATGGTCCCTTGAGGGATGACGGAGTCGCCTTTGAAGCCATACAACGGCCTGGAGGTTTTCTCCAATTGCTCCTTCTGGATCCCTATTTTTTCCAAGCAATCGGAATATAGGAGGTCCACCGAGCTCCCATTGTCCACCAGGATTCTTCACACGGTGTGGTTTCCTATCATGGCTTCCACCACCAAGGCATCGTTGTGGGGAAAATGAACCCCACAAGCGCCATCCTCGTTAAAAGCCACATCAGTGTGGCTGTACCTTGGAATTTTTGCGGCGGAGACGCTCCAGAATCGCTCCTGATAAACCCCCCTGGTCTCGTGGGCGTAATCCTTTTGAGACCTCCTCGAGTCCCCTCCTATGTAGGGACGGCCGAGGACAGTCCTTATGACGCCGACAGGTTCACGGTCCTCTGGGCGCTGGTTCTCCTCTCGGCGTCGACCATCATTCTGCCCACCATGGCTGCCATTTCGGGGCCTTCGTTCGGCCCTGAATTCCTGTAACCTTCCCTCGCGGATCAATCTTTCGATCTCATCTTTGAGGTCGGCACAATCGTTGGTGTGGTGGCCGACATCGCCATGGAACCTACAGAATTTCTTGGTTCCTTCGGCTGGGGTCTGACTTCATCGCCTCCGGTCGGCGCAACAAGTTCCCGCGACCGACTTGGTTGAAAACCTCCTCGACTCCCACCATTAGCTCATGGTGGGAATCATACTTTTGGAACAGCCGAGGTCTTCGGGTGTCCTCTTGCCTTGGCTTTTTGGCTTCTGAAGCGCTCGTCGTTGCGGCGGGCTGCTTGTCTCCGTTTCCTCCGCCTTGACGCTTCTTCCCATCCTGCTTCGTAGGCGCTGACCCCTGTTCAGTTCCTTTATTCTTGTTGGTCCGGTGCTCGGGGTCATTCGCGTCTGCCTTTTCGGCGTTGATGTACCCCTGCGCTCGCGCCAGAAATTCTCTGTAGCTGGTTGTGGGCTTTCGATTTAGCTCTCTTTTGAACGGGGTTATTTTCTTCGTGCTAGATAAAGCCCCCATCAGGGCTTCTCTGTCTGTTATGTTCATTGTGGCGGCGACAACCTCCCCATACCTTGCGAGCCATTCCCTCAATGATTCGTTTGGTTTTTGATATATCGTCATTAGATTCTGCTTTGGGGGACGTACTTTTTTACCCCTATGAATTGGAGGGAAAATGATTCCTTCAACTCATCCCAGCTCGGGACAGAGTTTAGCCTCAGCGTTCGGAACCATCTCCGCGCAGAGTCCGTCAGATGGTTTCGAAAGGCTCGGCACATAATCTCCTCGGCGTAACCGTGTAAGAGCATGTGCTTGGTGTACATCTCCAGATGGTCGTCGGGATCTCCTCGCCCATCGTATGGCGGGATTGACGACGACCTCTATTTATCGGGGAGAGGGGGTGCCATTATTTCTTCGGTAAATGGATGGTCATGGGTGCGACTGGGGGTGATATCAACGTTTACCACCTCAGCCACGCAACCTATATTCTTTTTTAGGCCCGCCACGTCCCCTGTCAGTTTTTGCTCCAGGCTGGCCATACGTTCCATGATGGCGCGCGCTTCCTCTATCGAAATGGCCGAGCCGACTGCTCTTGATGCTTCCGCCCTCTGAACGTTGGGTCCGCCTCAGGCCTGGCTACCTGCCTGCACTGAGCCTGAGTCTCCTGGCAGGTTTCCACCTGGATTCTGAGGTAGTACCTCGAGGTTTCCAGGACCTCTCAGTACCCGGTCCTCGGGAGCTCGGAGCCCGGCGGCCCCCAAACGGCTGCCGGGGGATTGGAAAGGCCGAGGCCGAGGAGGGCCCCATCGATTCTCACTATCTCCGGTTCCCTATTGGACAGGTGGGTGCGGTTTGGATCTCCGGCCAGGGCGGGTCCCTGCGGGATCGTAGCATCTTCTAATGGTGGCATGGAGTTCCTTCCGTCTAAGCGTTCCACCACGGTCATCAACCCACGTACCAGCTCGGTTAGAGTGGTCAGTTGGGCCTGCATCTGCATCGGATCCGGCTGTGGCGCGTCTGGAGGTGGAACTTTGTGTCCAACCGGGCGTAGATGTCCTTCCATCCCGCTATTCCCTGGACGGGCAGCGGCTTGTTGCTATGTTGGTAGGGGTCGAACGCTTTCGGTCCCCAGCGGAGTCACCAATTGTTGACGGTCGAATTTCACCAACAAAAAACTGACCGGGTTACCTCTTGGTTTCCCTTTGGATTACCGGCCGTGTATATATATTTTGACACATCAGGAAATGGTGAATTATTTGTGTGTGAGGATCTATTGAAAACCCCTAAGATATTAATGACACAAGGGAATTTATAGTGGTTCACTCTATAAATTTCAGAGCTACATCCACTGTAATCTTGTATTTCTTTATCTTTGGGTAAGATACAGTTTACAATGTATTTTCTTAGCTTGCATTTTTTTCCTGAACCCCTTCCTCGTTGGGGGTCTTTCACCTTATTTACTGGGGCTTCCTTCGCTCGGGAGGTTTCCCTCACAGCTAGAAGCACTCAAGTGCTCTCCTTTGGTAGGCCCAGACGTAGCCCACTAATTTGCATTGTTCATCCAATCTGTTTAGTCTTCTATTACGGCTCTGCGCTTCTCCGTAATACTTTCCTGTCCCCTGTTGGGGCAGTCTGACAGCTCGTAATTAATGCTCGCAGACCACCTCCACTTGTGCACGTAACCCACAATGTCCCCTAAAGGACGTTTCCCTCATCGTCAGTACTTCTTAGCCCAACCGCCTTCTTTGATGGCAACTTCCTGTGGTCGAGAGATCTTTGTCCTATTGCGTCGATGGCGCAATTGGTCGGCGCCACAATGGGTCGTCGTCTCGACTTAGACTCCGTCCTGGAGCCTTCGCGGAGGACTAAGAAGAGCTTGCAAGCGTCGAGGGTTTTCAAGCGTCGAAGGTTGCTTGCTTAGTGGGGGTTGATCAAGGCCACATGTCACGGCATACTTCGCCCACGCGTCTGCCATATTTTCCCACACAACAATAATTATAATATTATAAAACATATTATAATATTACATACAAAATATTAATATTTCAGTTATAATATAATTAAAAATTACCATTATATTATATTATAGTATAATATAAAATATTATATAATTATTATTATATTATATTAAATAAATATATTATAATTAATATATTATATAATCATGTGTAATACCTATAATGTATAATAATATTAAAATT